TCAAAGTGCAGCTAATTGGGATTGCTAGATTATTAATACTAATATTAGTATTTCTTTATTTGATTTTTCCATGTGGTTTCCAAACAACGGGGGAATAAAAGGAATATACAGAAGACCTTTGCGTCCTTGGGCTGCAGTTTTGTCTCATGTTAGCTGATATGAGAGAAGAAACTACATTAGAAACCACGTAGGGAAGCAAAATTTCACAGGAAATCTTCTGGGTTTGTATCTGCTGCTTCACTTTGAACAAATCTGTGAGGTTTGGTGGCTTCACAGGAGTGTGCCAGTGGCCAGAGGGTATTGAGAGGAGCCAGAGAACAGCTGCATTAAAGAATATTTCTCCCTCCTACAGTGACTGAATTTGACATTGAAAGACATCTAATGCGTAGAAGCAGAAAGGAGTAGCTGTGGTGTTTCAAAGTTTTGGCTGTCTTGCTGTGCTGTCTGGTTGCTGCTGCAGCAGTCCCTGATAAGCAGAGGCAGTGTGGCCACAAACTGACTTTGCTAGTGCTGCTGAGGCTTTGCCCATGAGAAAGAGTACAAAGGAAGAGTTCTCAGTCATCATAGGGCCTGCTGTAGGCATGATAAGATTTTTAATGAGTCCTGATTTTTGTGCATCATTAGGTATCGTGGAAAAGGACAGTGCATCCCAACTAGCACAATTTCACACTGCTGTTACTGGGCTGCTTTAGTGCATGCTTGTTATGCAGAGTAGGAATGCAGGTTCACAGATAATTTGAAAGGATCTAAAACTCTGCAAATTTTGGCAGTAGCTTATCACAGCTGTTTCCCATCCCCTCTTTCCAGATATTGTGTGATAAACTGGAACACTGTTTTCTCCTGGGGCATTATATTGGCATAACAGAAGAGCTTGTCAGGGAAGAACATTTCTCAGGTGCATTGCACTGAAGTTCCTCAGATGCTGACTGGCTCCGTTTTCGTTGGAATTGGATAAATGTAAATGAATTCTATGTCTGTTTTGGCAGTATGACCTTGGAGGTAGCAGGGTCATCAGCCTTCCTCCAGGATGAAATATGGGTCTGCCACAGATGAAAGAAGGAAGGGTAGAATTGCTGGGCACTTGTGCCTCATGTCCAAAGGCTGACAGGTTAATCCTGTTTGTCAGTGATTGTTTATTCTTTCTGTACCATCCCATGCACTCTCATGTGTTCAGCAACTCCAGGAGAAAACAATGGAAGATACTAGAGATGCACAAGATCCATTGCCTTGAATAGCCATTACCTTGGCCAGGCCAGAAATCTAGGGGGTATAAAGAAAAGCCCTGCATCTTTTTTTTTTTTTTTTTTTTTTTTTCCCTTTAGCTTCTTCATCTTTTTCTTCTTTCCAACAAATACCATCATTTTACCTTTTACGGACAAAGTTTCTGTGACATTTATACCTGGCCAGGTTTTGTGTTTGACTGGGATTATTGGAGGTTATTCACATAATCTCCTTTGAAAATCTCAATTTCAGCAATTTACTGTACTTTCCACCCATAAAATGGTGGTTCTTGCACATCTCCACAGAGATTGCTAAGTCAGTTGGGTCAAATGGCCAATATCTGTATGCTTTATACAGAAAAGGGGAATCAGGGGCTGCAGCAGAAGACTCACATCCCTTCACACTGTGACAAATTTAATAAATTCCACTAGCTCTAGTCTAGGGTTTTCATCTCATGCATAGGTACAGTATCCCAGTTTGATTTACTTTCCAGCCAGCTAGTGTTCCCAGGGGCTAGAAAGTCTTGCCTTAGCTGCTAGATCTGGAATTTGGGCTGGCAGTTGTCTGTTGCCAGGTTAAGTCATCATTTCTAAGCCAAAAGGATATTCAGCTCTGATAGCTTTAATTTGAGTTGGTTTTAGCCCTAGTAGAGATGCAAGGAGGTCATGTGTATATAATCACATACATAAAGGCCTTTAGGGTTTTATTGATTTTTGGTTTGTTCTTTTGAACAGGGAATCAGGTCGATGATAATGTTTTACCTGGAGCTCTTGGAACGTGTCTATGAGATAAATGGTAATTGAATAAAAGTTAAAAAAAAATCACAGTTCCCTCAAAAGTTAATTCTCTGGTTTTCATATGCATTAACACTCTGAAAGTCCTAAGCAGAGTAACTTGAGTGCTAATGTGGAAAATAATCAGGGTAATGCAGTGAGTGACAAAGGTGAAAATTAGCACAGGATTCGTGGGTGAGATAAGCAGGATCAGGGATCCTACTGCAGGTGTAGGAAGGAGAAATTCTAACCTACTGTGTGGCCAGAAGCCAAGAGTGTAAACTGTCAGCTTGCAATCCTCCCCTTTGTAGAAGAAATACTGCAGAAATTCTGTTTGCTGTGTGAATTGGCATAGGGTGCTGAGTATATGCAGCACTACATACCTACCACAGGAATTTAAATATGTGCACGCTAATAATTAATACTGAGACTCACAGATTTAAACACTGTTTTAAAGAACATGTACTTGGTGGAGATTTTTATGTTACTGCCTTCAGTACCTGCTGTGTGCTCAGCATTACTCTTTCAATGTGTCACTGGTTTTGGTGGGAACACATTTAGATGAAAACTTTTGATCTTCCAAAGATCCACGTTAGATGGGTAATATGTCATTTCCCAGCTCTGCAGTGCTCCATGAATCTGCTAGCAATAAAGTCAAGTGTAGTGCATGGTCACAGGTCTGAGCAGAACTAGGGAAGGCCATGGCAGGGCTGTGCTCCCTGTTCCTCCCTTCCTCCTCCTCTGGTGAATCTACCATAAAAGTAGAAGTGAGGGCCAGGGAGCACAGCTGTGCAGAGCTGGTAGGGAACATGTTGCTCTCCTGAAGTTTCAGTATAGTTCTGCCTCGACCCTGTGGCCCTTCTGTATTCAGAGACACAATGGGGATGGCTGCTTTTTGCCAAAAGTGGTAATAAAAGCAAAAAAATGCTCTTAAATTTTCTGCCCTATTTGTGTTTATTCTTCTGTAGTTTAAAAAAGGATTTTTTTGTTTTCAAGAGGGTTTGAAATCTTCTCCACCTAAGGAGGAGATGTATCAAGCGACTGAAAAGCCTCTTAGGGTACATAAATGCTGTTGAGTTTTGAGTGTTTAACCCCTCTAAGATTATTTTTCATATGGATAGTTAAAGGATCAAATTGCACTCACAAGTGAAGCAATTGAAGTGAAGCTGAGCAACAAAAATCCCAAGAAAGTCCTGGTGTTGTTTATCCCTCACAGTTATTTCTTTTCCTATCATGGAACAAAGTTGCTGTAATAGCATTTTTCTTTGCAGGTGGAATTGGGAATACAGAGATAAATTATGGAGAACCAGGGTGTCTCCTGTCAGAATAAATATTTAATGAGAACAAGGGTTGTGCTCATTCAGAGCCACAAGGACTGATACTAAAGTACTATATGAATGTTAATTTTAATGTATAAAATATATGCTTGAACTTAAAAATGCAGAGTGAACAGCCTCAAGGGCAAGTGTGTATTAAGGCTGTGACAGGTGTCTCTGTGGGTGCTGATAATGTAAAAGTGTCATCTGCTTTTTTTTCCCCCCCCTGCTTTTTCAATTTACCCACCAATCAGCCAAGGAGCAGGAATCTTAAAGTACTTACTCTCCAAAGCAATTCTTGGAGCCATATGTTCTTTCACATTGTACCCAGGCTGTGTTCATTCTAACCATCAGCCTCATTTAACTGTTTCTATCTCAGATTAAAAAATATCAGAACTATGATACTTGAGTTTTCTTTGTGTTACAGAATACAGAATTTGTACAGAATGTATCTGTTAGTGTACAGTCATGCTAGTTAACACGAATTAACTAGTGACTGTCACAAGTTACTCACAGCTCACAAAGTATTTTCAAGTTCAAACAGTAACAAAAGGCATGACCTCAGAGTTACAGCTCATCTTTCCAAGGACATGGGATGTTGAGGCAGACTTGGGCTTTGTAACAAGTTCTGGAACAGTCACTTGTTACTTTAGATGACACAAAACAGTGAATAAATGCTGGTCTCATTTTCCTTACTGCTCACAACTCTGGTGATTGGTCTATCTTTTGCAGTATCTAGGATGTCCTGTACCTTGTGACTTTTCATCTAAACTGTGGGGTCCCTTCTGTGCTAGCTCGCTGTGATCTCTCCCCATTCTGTTCCTCCATCTCACCAGAAGCCTATGCTTTTCTCTTCATAAGCCTCTCTCAAATATCTCTGTCCCTTTGTTTATTCTCACCAGAAGCCTATGCTTTTCTCTTGATAAGCCTCTCTCAAATATCTCTGTACCTTTGTTTACATGGTTTGAGGGTTTCCTACCTGCCTACAGGTAAAATCATTTAATTTAGTTTCCTTGTTCAAACTTCTAATTGGAATACCTATTAATTTTCCAAAGGCCAGTCACTAAGGCCATAACAACTAGTGGTTGCTTTGTGAATGTCCTTGGACTGGGGAGAGATACATAACTGGGGCCTCTAAAGCTTATGACTGACTCACTATGCATTGATGCATTCAGTGGTTTGTCCAGTCCATAACGTGGAGGCATAAATAGACTCTCAAGTCATTGCATAACACTGGCATTGCCTACAATTTAGAATAAAGGACACTGGCAGTTTCTCACTGCAGCCACTAATGCATTTTGTGAACTTGGGTGACCTCTGTTTTCCTCCTTTTTTAATTTCTAAAATGGAAATAGCAGTATTTTGCCTAGGTAACATTTACAGGGGAAAAACTTTGTAAAATGCTTTCTAATTCACAGGTTAAATGGCTTGAAAATGGAAATGTATTAAAATTATTATTGAAGAAAAAAACTCAGGTCTTTTGCATGAAAGGAAATTTTCATGTGTTCAAAACAAAACTACGGGAGCTGACATACTATGTTAGAACAGTAGTTACAGACTTAGCTCACAGCAGACTGTTGAGGACAAAAGTTACTGTTATTTCTCTGTTTAGGTCTCCCTTCATATGCTTCTGTTTAGGTAAGAACTGTAATGCAATCTGTTCTCTTTCATTGTCTGGTTTATGCAGGCACAGGCTTGCTACAGGAAGTGGTATATCTAGTGAGTCAGGGAGCTGATCCAGATGAGATTGGACTAATGAATATAGATGAACAACTTCCAGTCCTAGAGTACCCTCAGCCTGGTCTGGACATCATCAAGGTACAATTTATTGCAAAGAAAGTCTTTCAGCATTTGGATATCTTTTCCTGGTCTGGACATCATCAAGGTACAATATATTGCAAAGGAAGTCTTTCAGCATTTGGATATCTTTATCCTCAGTTCCATATTTATCATTTCATTTCATCTTGTGTCCTTGTCCTTTTCATCACTCGACTTGCTCAGTTTGTTGGAGTGATTCAGAGTACTATTAGGTTATTTTAAAATTGCTTTTGTTAAGCTTTATTGTACTCTGCTTAATATTTTAGATGTTCCTCCATGTCCCAAATATCTTGGCAGTGGGTTTTCTGATTAAAGGTTCCAGGTCTCCCTTGCTTATGTAAACAGAAGTTTCCCCAGTGAGGCAAATTTGCTTTGAATCCTTCCCTGAATTTGCAAAAGAGGAACGACAAATACAGAGATCTGTAGGTCTGTGTTCTCACTGCTCTGAATTTACACATCTAAATCTTTAGGTCCACAGATCCTGGGTCTCTACAGACTCTGTCGGTGTAGTTTGAGAACTGTGGAATATCTTGCATGAGATGATTTTCACACTATTAAGAGGAGAACTGTGGAATATCTTGCATGAGATAATTTTTACACTATTAAGAATCCCTTCGAGACTAATTGCATGGCATATAAGTGTGATCTTGTCATTGCTGTAACTGCTTCTAATATAGGCATATCTTGGAATCATTAGGCAAAATACAGGGCTCCATCCAGTGATAGCTGCAGTACTTGTTGAATTGAGCTAGCTAAGGCTGGCACAGATAGATTTAAGCTGCTTCTGGTCAATGACAACTGCAGCATCAGCCTGATTTAGGCTGAGAGTATTTAGAGGTCAGAGATTGCTCTTCTTTTTCATCTGTGTGATGCCTAATCCAATGACACCTGATGCTACCCTGATGCAAATAAGTGGTGGCAATAATAAGAGGTTTAGTTTGAGATTACACATTATTGCCTATGCCACGTGCTAGCAACTTGATTCAATATGTATTTATGCAGTTTATAATACTAGAAGCTGATTGGTGTCATAAGACAATTTTTGTCTCAAATTACAGAAGAAAAACATCTGTTTGAAAGACATTCACATACTCAGATCAAACTTTGGGCCAAATTATGAGCTTAAAATAAGATGCAAGGGTAAAATTTTGAAGTGAAGATGTTAGGGGTAGTGTTTTCAGAGCTTCAAGTATTTTTCAAGGAGTTGTCGTGGAGACATCACTGGAAAAAAGTTAGTTTGATACGAAGAATCTTCAAATATTCATTATGAGCTTAAAATAAGATGCAAGGGTAAAATTTTGAAGTGAAGATGTTAGGGGTAGTGTTTTCAGAGCTTCAAGTATTTTTCAAGGAGTTGTCGTGGAGACATCACTGGAAAAAAGTTAGTTTGATACTAAGAATCTTCAACTATTATATTTTCTTTCTGAGAAGATTCTACAAATGGAAGTACTTTGAAAACAAAAGCGATAAAACCTCAAAACAATAAAAGCCCCAACACATTATCCAAACATTTGATATTTGAAAAACAGATGTAACTCCCTGACCTTGTTTCTAGTCTCAGGCTCCTATTAATTTAAGAAGTGAATTTGTGGACATGACTCACTATAGTAAAGGGCTTCAAGTATGACAGTTCAGGACAGCTCAGGATGCACCCAAAACTAGTGCTCAATAAGGAATGATTCTGTCTGCTTTGTTTTAGGAACTGACATCTCCTCGCCTCATAAAAAGCCACCTACCGTACCGTTTTTTGCCTTCGGACCTCCATAATGGCAATTCCAAGGTAAAATGAAATTAAATCAAGTTTGTTTAGCTATATTGGCAGCAGTTGCCTAAGTGCTTTGGGAAACAGGATGGAGAAAAAGCTTTCAATAAGATGATGTTTCCCCCCCATCACAGGTAATATACATGGCTCGCAACCCCAAAGACCTCGTGGTGTCTTATTACCAGTTTCACCGCTCCCTAAGGACCATGAGCTACAGAGGAACGTTTCAGGAGTTCTGCAGAAGGTTTATGAATGACAAGTGTAAGGACCTGTTCTTTCTGTACACACACATTTATTTTCATCTCTGCATTCCTTCTGCAAGTACAGAAATGAACTGGATAAAGGTGCATTTGTTTTGTATATACAGCAAGGAGGTTGCTACAGATAGTGCTGCATGGACTTAGATTTGTCATGGCCATGCATTTTGTGTATAATTGCCTTACAGTATTTGCCCCATGGGCTCAGCAGTGTTCTACTCAGGTCAGACAAAACTCTGCTTTACTCTTCTAAAATTCAGTCTGCAAGGTACCAGGTGCCTTGTAAAACGTGGTGAATACTCCTAGCATCATTTGATTTCAGTTATACCTCACTGTTAGCTACTTCTCAGGAGACTTTCTATTCCTCAAGTTTGAGGTTCTTTTCCTGGTAATTCCTTTAATATTTTAATTTCATCCAGAACCTCAAGGTCTGTCCCTTGTGAGATATTAGTTAACACACAAAAATCTTTGGTTTGCATGAGACTGCTCTGGAGTGCATCAGTAAGCTGAAGTGAGACCCTGTAAGAAGGCAGTTGCAGTCTGCTACTCTCTGAAAAATACAACTCTGTAATGAGACTACAATACCCTGCTTTACAGGAGCTCTTCAGCTGCTCACCCAGTAACTCCTTTGAGCAAAGGCTGTTTCATTACACACCCACCGTGTTCCCACTCAGGCTACACTGCCTGGAGTTAGCTCCATTGCACTAGCTCAGTAAACTTACAGGGAGGGCAAGCCCTATGTTCTTGCATAACTGCCTGCCATGGGGCTTTTTGACAGTGGGCTGCCACACTTTCTAGCTAGGAAGAGAAACATTTTCTACTGCCTTCTATTTCTCTACAAAATCTTCTCTGATACCTTAATGTGACACCAAGAATTCACCAGGTACACCTCCTCTGAGAGCAAGATGATCTCTAGATTCAGAGCATCAAACTGTTCTTCACCCTGGAATTTAGAGGAGTTGATGCTGAAGATGGTGTAAAATACTAAAGGCAAGAAAGAAGTAAAGCCTACCCCAATGGAGGTTATTTAACAGGCCTTAAAAACGGTTGCTGCTTTTTTTCCTGCAAGTCTGCAGAGAGGGTTAATGCTTTCCTCCCATTCCAGCCCATCTTCAGTTTTTTCATTTGCATTCCCTGAGAATAGGATGTTTGTCTGTAGCCCATGATTAAGAACTTCTAGACCAGAGATGTAAGAAAGACACATTAGAAGGTCTTCCAAGATAGGAGAAAGGTTTGGTGCTCTTTTCATTTAAGAAGCCCAAGAGTAATTTATATTTTCATCTTGTAGCAGCTAGCTGATTTATCACTACCTTCCATAGCCAATAAAACATCACAGTGTGTTCTGAGGCCATAATTCTGCAAATGGAGTGTTTGTAATACTGTAAATTTAGCATTTAGCTAAGAGTTTGCATCTCGTGGAAGCAATGCAGCAGAAGTCTGGTAACTGGAACATTTTCAATGGACAGAGAGGTCAGTTTCATAGAAAATAATCAGCTGACTCATTTTCAATTTTTATAAGAGCAATGGAAACCTTCCATTTTTGTTCCTTCCATTCCTAGTAATTTTTGGCAACAAAAAGCATTCTCTAGATCATAGGTACCAAGTACCAGTGTCTGAACTTCTACTAGAATGTTGACTTAATGAGATAAGTGGAAAACAAATGAATAAAATTTTGAGGGGAGGGTTAGGGCTTCCAGTAACCACTGCCTCAGCAGTGCTGGGAGCACAGGCCCTCCCAGCATAGAACCTGAGCTGCTCTTCAAGTCCTAAAACCACATGGAGCAGATATGGGGAACTGAAGACAAGCTGCTGGTGGCATGCAGGAGGTAGGAGGCATAATCTTCTCATCGTTGTCAATGCTGCACACTGGGCCTGCTCACAACTTGTGATGTATGGGGAGTACCCTATGACATCACTCTTAAGTTTTCAGGAGCACTCAACACCTCATGGGCATCTGGTTGCAGTCTGAACTTGTGTAATTGAGATAACGGATAACACTATAATTTAAACTGTGTTCTGGTATGTCTACAGAAGTTGTGTGAAAGTGTTAATAAAATAACCATAGAATAGGTCTTAGATTTTAGTAAAGGAGCAGAATATGTAATGATAAATAGAATATTCTGTCAGTACATCCCATGTTTTTGGCAATGATCATGAAGCATTTTTCTAGGTCCATGTCCTCAATACTTGTTTAAGAAAGGACAGTGGTTGTTAGCAATTCTTTGTCTATAATAGAGGAATTGCATGGAACTTTCCATGAGTGCTGTATCTAGCTTAAAAGTGAAGAAAGCTGCAGTGTGATATGTTCATTGCAAGACCTCATGCAGGTTGGAGTCCCTGGAAATTTGCCTGCTGCAAAGCTATCTGTGTCATTTTTATTTTGGCTCAATTTCTGTTCAACAGTAAGGTGTTATTAATACTGAGCTCCAAGAGGTTCATCATGAAATATGGTGGCATTTTCACTTGCATATTCGAACTTCATGCTAAGTTAGTTCTTCTGAATATTCCAAACTGATAGAAAACCTCTTTTTGAAAGTTAAGTTCCTTGCTTACATGGTAATGGGTCAGTACGAGACACTATTCTCCCGGGACTATGAACCACTCCAGTTAATTTATTTTTCTCTGTTTTTTTTCCATTTTGAAAATGACTTAGTAACAAAAGTGTTCATTTTCCTCATGCCAACCATAATGTCTTTGTAGTAGGATACGGTTCGTGGTTTGAACATGTGCAAGAGTTTTGGGAACATCACATGGATGCCAATGTACTTTTTCTCAAGTATGAAGATATGCATAAGGTAGGTTAGATGTAGCAAAATGATATTTTAATTCCATTTAGCATCCTAGTGTTTTAAAATATATAAAGCACAAAGTTTACTTCCAATGTCCATATGTGGGTTCCGTAATGTCTGATACCATTTTTAAAGCACTGGCATTTAATAGGTTCTGTGGACTTTAAACACTTTTGCATCCATATTAATTTACTCAGGAGTTGACCTGCATCTCTAGGCACCAAGCTGCTTGCAGAGAAGGCAGTGATGTGTATCTGTTCAGTACTAGCTACACTCAGCCCTGGGCATTCATTTAAAAGAAAAGTCTTGCTGCATGTACTGTATCAATGAGAAAAAAGTATATAATGAGTATTTTGTCCTATATATTTGGCATTTATTTTGATTATTTGGCTATTCTTACTGTTTTCTGTGAAATGATGTTGAAAACAATTAGGTATGATCATGTAGTATAAGGTGAACATAATTACTGGGTCCTTCAGCTGGACAATAAATCCACTTTAATCAGAGATCTAGTAGAAACACTACATAGAACATTGGTTTCCATTTCTAACTCAAGTAATATATTTTTGAGAGTTAATGGAATGACTTCCAAGTGTTTATTTGACTGGAAAAGTAATGCAAACATAGGGAAAACTCAGCTCCAGTCTCTAAACCTGTAAAAAGACAAAATCAGAACTCAGTAAAGCTGGGTAAATTGTAATTCCAGCTTTACTGAGCCTTCTGATGGAGTGGGGTGCTGAAAGAAGATGTAATACAATCAGTGTAAGTAAAGTTTAGTCGAAATTATTTCAAATCCATGGTTTTGAATAATTCTATGTTCCCTAGCTGTGCTCACTGGTGGATGCTTCTGAAAGGTGGTGGCATCACAAGTATCTTTCTGCTTCCTGATAAATATTATTGTCTTGTCCTTTCAACTCCAGAAGTCTTACTCATACTGAGGAGCCCTGGAATTCTGGAGAGGTTAATTAATGACTGCTTATTCTCAGAGGCCTCCTCACAAATCCTTTCCATCTATATGAATGCAGAGGCTAACAGTAAAAGAAGAGCTGGTCTAACATCTGTAGTTATTTATTTTGCCAAGATCAAAATCAGAGTAACTTAATTCCTCCAAAATGCACTGGTGTTCCAAAGTGATCAGTCACAGGTGTGGTGTTCTCTGAAATGGGAAGCATCACAGTTACTCTGCAGTTTCTAGTGTTTGAAGAGGTGAGCTTACATGACCATGTTCTCTGTCAACCTGTCTTACCCTAATTACTTGGAATGTGTGTATTTTCAGAAAATTGGAAGGAGGCAAAATTTTTCAGACAGTGCTATTTCTACTTGTATTTTTCGCACTCATCAGGATATTCTAAAATATTTTGACTCATTAAAAAAAGGCCATTTAAAATATTGTAAAATAAACTGTGTTTTAAATACTCTCTTACAGGACCTAGCAACAATGGTTGAGCAACTGGTGAGGTTCTTAGGAGTTTCTTATGACAAAGCACAGTTGGAATCCATGGTGGAACACTGCCATCAACTTATTGATCAGTGCTGTAATGCAGAAGCTCTTCCCGTTGGCAGGGGTATGTTCAAAACCCACAGTAAAACTCCTAGTGGAGAAGTTGCAAGAAGCAACTGACAGCTTAGTAACCTCCAGGATGTGTTAATATGTTGGTGAGATATTGCTGTGTAAAGGATGGGAGGTAACTGACTGTTGGTGCAATGTGGGGTGAGTTTGTTTTGAAATAATGTTAGGTAGAAGTCACCAAAAACAATGGAAAAATCAAAGATTAACAGTGTAAATTCAACACCATACAAACCACTCTGTTAGAGAGGCTTTGGCTTCAGTGGAGTGAGCTCTTCCTGCCGAGAAGACTGCACTGCTCCTTCTGACCTTTGGCATGCCAAACCCACACCATTTCTTACATTTTATCTTGGCCTAACCCATTGTTTTTAAGTATATCAGATTTTATAGAATAACAGATAATTCTAATTTGGAAGGCATAAAATTACAAGGACCTGTAACTTCTCTTACAAACGTTTTCATTGCCACCTTAGCTGTTTAAAATGTGTTTAGCTTCCAGGTGTTTATTCTGGTGAGGTCTTTCTCTGGAAACCTGAAGGTGCCCTTTGATGTGCTGATACATCTGTCCTTTGATAAGGTCAAGAAACCAAGTCCTTTCTTAGTTGCCTTTCAGAAGCATAAAAGAGTGAATTTAGGCTCCCTCAAATAATTTTCTTTTAGGCTGTTTTACAGCACTTAATAGCTCTTTTTAAAAATGAGGGAATAAGATCAAGATGGTCAGTTCCTATGTTAACCTCACAAATACCTTATCCAGACATAAAATAACTTCATACACTACTTTAATCCAGTTTTATTTGGAACTCTCCCTTGTTTGTCCATCCATAACCATGTTAGCACTTTTTGATACAGCATCATACATGAAACATGTTTATCATGACCATGAAAGTCTTTCAGAGGAATTGATTTACAGGTTATTGTCCCTGACTCAAGGATTATGACCTGAATACTTTGCTCTTAGATTTCTGTGTGTAGTAGCCCTTTCCATACTACCCCTCTCAGCCAACCCTCATGTGATCTGCAAATTATATCAGCTGTAATTTCTACAATTATTTTCAATTCTCTGATAATGATATTAAATATAATCAGTCCTTCTCGACTACTAATTCTGAATTGGTGTTATTCATTTATCATGCATTTTGCTGACATTATATAGTTCCATTGAAAAACCCACTGAAATCACATGCTTCAGGAAGGTCTGTCAAACTGTAGCCTTAACAACACTCAGTCAGGTTTGTTTGAGAGCAACTTTGCTTTGCCATGAAAGCAGGTTCACTGGAATTCTGTATTACCTTTGCATCTTGTCAGGGCCTTATGCCAGTTACTCAGCTTAGACTATTTGTCAGAATAACTGACCCAGCGTAACTTGTCCTGTTTGTATATTGGCACAAACATTTCAGAATGTCAAACTTTGAAAAAAAAAAGCCATTGTTCACACCTCCTTGTTTTGATCTGTGACTTTGCACATGGTATGGAAAAGTTCTTGGTGCATTCTGTAGGGGCTATGCACTCCAGTTATTACAGTAGGACCTGGAAAACTGATTTCCAACCCAATTCTCTACTATGAAGAAAAGATCACAAGATAATGAGTGCAGTAAGATGTCCTGAGGGCCTTGGATAAAGTGTTTGGTGTCAGTGCAAGATTTTACAAACAGCAGAGCTGTGTTCTCCTCTGTTGACTTGCATGTAACACAGGTTACATGGTTTGTTCCTGGTTTGTTCCTTGCCTCCACAACCTGGACACCTGTGGAGCAGCAGCACTCCTACCATGCTCCACACAGCCCAGAGCCCCCACCCTCGTCCAGTGAGAGCCAGAGAGGTGGTTGTGAAAGAAAGGTGAGGTTGTAATACAAGAGAACAAAGCTGCTGGTGAGACCTTCCACAGGCAGAAAGGTCAGCTCTGGTCTCTGCTGGCCAGTTCATCTCCATCTCCATCCGGATCAGCAGGGTGATCCCTCTTTGCTGCATGCACCATTCTGTACGTGCTGTGGTGTTTGTGGTTCTGTAGTGGAGTCTGCAAACCCTTGGCCTAGGGGCAGAGTCTCTTGTTTAGATTGCCTAGGAATGTTTCCAAAAGAAGCCTTCATTTTGCAATAGAGAAGGAAGGGAGTGACTGCAGTGAATGTGATATTTTGTCATTTGTTCGCTGTGTGCTTTTTAGTAAAAATATCCTTATTTTGAATTTCTTTTCTTTGCTGTCTCTGGCTTTTACAATATTTTGTTACTTCAAAGTGTAGCTTCATTAGCAGTGCTTTGTTCCTTCTCTGTTTGTTTCTGTGACAAGGAATGGTGGTGAAAACATGACAGCTTATTGTAATTTGTTTCAAATATTTTTAATTTGTCATTAGTTACATTTACTTTATTATTTTGCTTTATTTTAGTTCTTCATTTTTTTTTCTTTTAGCACATTGATCTTTACTCTGAAGATAACCCTGAACTGCTGTGAAAGCAGAACAATGATTAGATATGTTACTTGTATTTGACTCTTATCACATCATAATTTACGCTGTTGCATGATTCAAATCATAAACCAGGTGGGTGACTTTTTGACAAGCTATCAATTCATATGGTGAAAAAAGAGATGTTACAAATAATCCACTGAGTGTGTCCTTTGTAAAACTTGTCATTTGTCCATATATGTTGTTAGGGAGATTCAGAAATAAAAGGAAGAAGTATATTTTATTATTGTTATCGAAAGGGAAATACAGGTGTTTGTGTTTCATGCTGTAGTTCATGCAATTATAGTTGCCAGAGCAATACTGAAATCAGTATCATGTGTTCATGATTGTAAGCATTTTCTTAGTGTATTGGGGGTTTTGATACGGGAGAAATTTGGTGAAAACAATAAATGGCATTTTCAGTTTCAGGTTATTTTGATCTTTGGATCCTGAAAAGAAATTTTATCATACCTTCAGGAGTTACAGAAAAGTCCTCATTTCATAATTTCCCTTGCCACACATGCTATACCATCATGTTAATATGTAATATGTAGATGTTTCAGACAGTTTTGTCTTTGGACTCAATTATAAAGTTGCTTCATAAAAGCAATGGTAATTAAATTAAATGGGTATTCTTCTTATGCATCAAATGCATAATTAAGCTCCCTGCATGTAGCTTTGTTCTTGCTGTTATGATTAAACTCTCTGGTAGCACAGTCCCAATTCTCCTTTCATTTATTCCAGTTGAACAAGCCTGGATTTTGGCTTTATATCCAGCATAAATGAGAAGAGAATTGGGCCTCTCAGTCTAGTTACTCCATGGGGTGTATTCAGCCACAGGTCACCCTGGCTGTCTTTGGGTTAAATAAATTTTGGACTGCATTGAAAGGGTTGTTC